CCAAGTGTTTTGAAAGTTTAATATTTGGCGTAAAGTCTATGGCAACTTGCGACGGCTTGGAATTAGTGTACATGAATACGCCTTGCGCAAAGCCAAGAGAGACTCAAACACAATTGCGCCCTTGTCATTGCATTGATGACAAACGAGTCCGAGGTGTGAGGCTGCTGACATATGTCTCTGTAGTTACTTGCCTTGGTAGAGAGATCCTCGAAAGGGTTTGTGACTTTAGTGTATCAAGATCCCAATATCAACGTCTCCCGTCTCGGCCCTGAGCATCAAAGCAATGCTTGGTGGTAATCGTGCTTCCCCATTCAAATTCATGTTCAACGCGCCGTGTTGGCAGATCACTCCATCATTCAGACCCGATAGACCCAACAGCGTGGACGTGGGGTAAAAAAGGTCAGATCAGAGGGATGCTCATCGTGTAAGCCCCGCGGTAAGGGATCATGGCGATTTCCCACGATTTACAGTCTACGTTTCCGTGAAGCCGGCTGTCGAGAAACAAAAGGCAACGGGATGGGATTGTCGAGTCAATTTGGCCAAAAGGTGGAGGGGACCCAACTGGCGATTGAAGAGCCTATCACAACAAGTCAGTCAGTCCTCACCAACCATGGAAATCGGACAGCATGGATGCTGAGGGGCCCAGAGGGGTCCACTGAATAACCTCAAGAAAGGTACAGCTTAAGGACAGCACGTGTGTCTCACCCGATGCTTCTACACGTGTAGAGTGGAAGTATTTTAGCGTAGATGAAGGTCAATCCGTGCGTCATCAAATATTTCAATGCTCTTTTTTCGGATATCTCACCCAAGATACACAGACTCTCGTGTGCAGGGAACTCGACCATTCACGCCCTTAGCTGTCACTGCCCGTTTAAGTACAATTGACCCTATTCACAGCCGGACATGTGTCGACGGAACCTCTGACAATCCGACTCGTTGCACATTTCTCCCCAGTTCCCCAGGTTTTGGCAGTCAGCCTTGAATAAGCACAGGAATGAACCGCTGAGCCTATGGCACGCGAGCTGCTTGCCCTCTACGAATTGGCCGGAGACGGGTGGCGGCACATGAGCCAATGGGTGTTTCCAGTCTCGATTCAGTCTCACCTGGTTTGTGTCTTTTCGCTGGTTGATATGTACCAGGCAGTTGCCTGTCAAAACTGCATCGTATCATTGAATCTGTCACTGCCTACCTGGAGGAGGAACATTCCGTACATGTAACGAAGCCATCCCTCCACTTTCCCGTGGCCCTACGCTACACAGTACACACAGACGGCAGACATGGTGCTTTCTTGACAAATGATCGTCCCGTCATTCTCTCCCTGCGCTCCACAAGTAGCGGCCCCACTCGGATCCGGTCCATCAGTTGGGAATGGCGTCATTTGATTGGCCTAACCAAAGCCCTGGATGAACGACGAGCAACAACTACGGGGTAACGACGGGGGCATTGACGGGGACGGGAATTGCGCGTCCGTCACCGAGATCCTCCTCCCAAAGTCGATTCTTCCTTGTCTCTTGATTCTCCGGTCTCGTCAAAAGCTTCACCGTGATCTCCTCGCCAGTTCAGCCCGACAATTGCAGTCCAGCTTCCCGGCCACCGTAATATGGAATCCCGGGTTCTTCCAAACCGCCACCAAAGGCATTAATACAATAAGAGATACCTTACAACAACCAAAACATCAAGATGCCTCCGCGTCGTTCCCACAAAAAGTCGAGGGCAGGTTGCCGCCGTTGCAAGTCGAGGAAGATCAAGGTATCTACAATCCATCGGCCAGACATCAAACATGGCTGACCCTTACTTGTCCATCTAGTGCGATGAGGTGCATCCTCGATGCGGCAACTGCGTCAAGCACGGCGTCCCCTGCGACTTTGAACATCCCGAAATCATCCCCGAGCTTCAAACTGCCTCCGTATCGAGTCCGTCGACCGCCGCCGGAACCCCTTATACTCCGGCATATTCTCCCGGCGCCGAGTCCGTATCGAATGCGTCGACATCACGCTTCCAACGAGCACCGCCCTTGTGCCGCTCACCACCCTCCCAAGCTCTCTCGACAACCACTCCGGTCGCCCACCGAATGCTCGAGTTGAGATTGATGCATCACTACACCGCCATGACATGCAAGACTTTTACCTTCACCGCCCCCACCACGGAGCACATATGGAAGATTACCGTGCCAGGCATGGCTTTTTCGGGCTCTCAACACCTCACAGATGCCATTCTCGCCGTCGCCGCCCTTCATCTGCGGAGTCAATCCCCAAACGACAAAGACCTAGTCCGCGCTTCGCACGCATACATGGCGGCCTCTCTGGCCGAATACAGCGCAACACTTACCAAGGGCATCGACAGTACCAACGCCGAATCCCTCTTCCTAACCGCCTCCCTCATCGCTTTCCAATCAACAGCCACCCGCGTCTTCATGAAAGACGAATTGAACCTCGCTCAAGCAACCGGGAAGTACACCGAGGATTTCAACAAGCAAGGCCGATATTCAGCAGCTGGGTGCTACTCGATCCCCTTCTCGTGGTTCCACTCCTTCCAGGGCGTCAAAGCTGTCACCGCCGCCTCCTGGCAATGGCTACGCACCAGTCCCGTAGTAACAGAGGTGATCAACTCCCAAGTCGTCTTGCAACTCGACCTGGGGCTTAACCGTCCTACCTTCTTCGGCCATCTTCTAGATGATTTGAGTGACGAGTTGGAAGAAATGGCCAACCCCTCAGGACCAGCATCATTACACCCCGATTCACCCGGACAACCCTTTCAACAGCGCCGAGTACCGGCTTCCCCAGAACTGGTGACCAGCACTCGCCAAGCATACCAGCATGCCGTCGCCGTGCTCAACTGGGCGCATAAAATCCCCCATAAAGGCGCGCCGCTAGCGTTTCCAGCAACTGTATCCAAGCGCTTCATCGAATTGCTAGAAGAGCGCCGCCCGCGGGCCCTTGCTATTCTCGCATGTTTCTTCGCCCTTCTCAAGTCCCTCGACTCAGTATGGTGGCTGCACGGCATGGCCCGCCGAGAAGTGTTGGGCGTGGTGTCTCTCTTCAACAGTGACTATTTTGGCCCAGAGGCCTACAGCAAATGGTGGCCGCACCTGGAATGGGCGATGCGGATTGCGCTGTACGAAACGCCGGACGGCAGCTCGACGATACCCCCTGAGGTGTGGGGGGCAGATTGGTACGCGGAGGAACAGGCGCTGGAGGGTCAGGGTGGACATAGCTATTACCGGCATATTGAGTTGCTGTGCCAGACGGGGAACTCGACGAGAAGCATTCCTGAGGTTCCCTGAGTAAACAGCCATTGATAAGAACGTGACACAACCAAAGGTGACGGACGGTATGAAGACCAAAGCGAGGAGGCAAAACCCCGAGAACAAGAGGAACACACGCCTAAGGACCACCGCCGGTAGGTGGTCCCTTTATATAGGCTTCCGGGAATACGAATACGATCCAAGTGGGACACTGGTTGATATCTATTGGTGTCACATACCCGGACGGCGGGCGTTGCCGGACGCAGACGTCAAATTCCGCGCCTATCAAACCGGCGGAACCGAACCTAACCGAGGAGAGGAGCAGATGTGTGGCTTCCCCCTTCTGGTGAGAACGCCATTCCAGCACGCTGACAAGGCATCACCAAGTCGAAAGAAGAACGTCAAACACATATAACTTTGACATAGACACGCGCCAGGATGGGGCGCCAAAGATTGGAAAGAACATTACAACATCATTGTCTTTTTTCTTATTAAACCATAGCAGAGGCGTTGAGGGAAATTCTTCACTATACTATATTAAGGAAACGAGAAGACATAGAAACGGGGATCTGAAGAAGGGGGGTGATTGAACCCGGAGTTGGGGTGGCGGAGAGACTTTGGAAGCTGGAAGTTGGAAGTTGGATGATACCCATGTGAAGAAGAGATGATGGATTGGAGAAAGAAATTTCATGAAGCTTTGGATGCTCTTTTTCTGTGTGTGTGCATGTGTCTGGCCAGAGTCAGAGAAAGGACATCGGATCGGATCTGGGATCTGGGATCTGTTCACTTGAACAGTCAGATGTGAAACTCCTATCTAGCTACTATATTGTAGTGGGTAGGGATTTGGATATCTACTGCATTAAATACAAAATAAAATACATGATCTCAGCTGCTCAGGATGGAATGAGAAGACTCTATCTTATGCCGATCCCATTGCTTCTAATCAGCTTCAAATCTCTGTAGGTGGCCCAGCTCTAAGTGTCTCGAGAGATTTTTGTGGTAACTTGTCTAGAGAACATAATGTCGAGTCTTGACTCCTCGGTGAGACTAGCTTTAGGTTCAGTTCAGACAAGCATAGGGAAACTGGGTAAACTCATAGTCAAAAAAAACTACTGTCCCCCCTTACCATGTTGGATATGTGGGGGGGGGGGGGGGGGGGGGGGGGGGCCACTCTACCTACCAAACACAGTTCCTAGTACAGGCATTTCTTTCATAGGTAACCTTGCAGTCAACAAGATGTAATTGATCATTCTCGGCATGGACATTTGTTATCCTTCTTGATTTCAAAATCAAATCAGTTTGGAGACTGCCTCACCAATAACCCCATCTAGGCGTTACCAAGCCGAGGATGGAAACACTGATTATTTTAGGTCTGTTTTTTTCCCTATAGCTGTATATAATCATGAAATTGTTTCGTTCCTTTCTAGGATCATAGATAGTTGAAATGTAGCAAGGTAGGTATCAAGGTACAATAGGGAAATAGGGGAATACTAACATGAGTGCCATGTGATAGTAGGCAGTGTGGTGACAATTGAATACTAGTATACTCTTCCAAAGAGAGCTGTAGCATGGAATAGCTGGTTTACGAATGAGAATGGCAAGACAATGGAACACACCATCGAGTTTGGTGATCTCTAGAGCCTAGCCAAACTCGGTCGGTCGGTCGGTCGGTCGGTCCTATGGTCCCAGTATTGGGTGGTATAAGTAGCACGTAGATACTGTATGTCTAGGTCTAAGATTTGTAACATCTACCATTCACCGGCTTTAGCAAGTCAATTTCACAAACAACCCATCCATCCATAACTCCAGCATTTGGCTTCACTTCTTTTGGATGGTCTGATCTGATCTGGCTTCAAAGTTCATCTTCCCCAAGAGCAGCAGCAGCAAATGATATATGATATAATGTAACAAAACTAAAAACTCCCAAAAACGCCTTGTGTCTTGGTGGATGATCGCAACAGTTGTGAGAAACAAAAAAAACGATTACACCTCCTCCTTTCTTCGCCTTATTCTCCCCACTCCCTATTCTTGCTCAACTCAAAATTCAACAACATCCCTCGCCTTCTTCTTCCTCGGCCCCACGATCCTGTCACTGACCTCCTTGACGCCCTCCATCGGCATGTCCGCATCATCAAAGTCCTCATCCACCACATCCCTGCTCCTCTTGAGACCCTTCATCTTTCTCGTCTGCAACTCGCTAAGATCCAGCTTGCCCATATGGATCCTACCAATCTTGTCACCGATGCTATCCATGCTGATGTTCTTCTTGGTGCGCTCCTCGTTGGTCTTGGGCTTGCGCATCGCCTCCTTGAGCATGTCCGCGTCGGGCTGCTGGAGACGGCCGAGGCGGAAGTCCATGCGGGGACCGTGCTCTTCGACTTCGACTCGGGGGAGCTTCTGGCCGGAACGCTTGGTGCGGATCAGGTAGGCGCGCAGGTGGAGGGTGGGTTTTGTCGAGGGGTCCGAGGGGTCGGTGGAGGAGGAAGTGGGCTCGTCGGCGGAAACGACAACGCAGTACTGCAGACCCTCGACGTCGATCTTGTCTGAGGGCTCGCCGCGGAAGAAGTCGATGAGCATGGATTTGGCGGTGGTGAAGGCGTTGGGGACGGGGGATTCGCTATGGTACTCGGTTAGCTACCAACATTCACTACTCCTTCCTGTATATCACAAAACCGGGGGACATACAAAGCAGTACCGGCGAACACCATCAAAGGCTTGGTGCCAACCGGCACCTTCTTGGTCTTGAACTGGGCGATGCTGCGGAAGGTCTCGGGGTCGAGGTAGAACTCGAGCATGTCGAGCATCTTGTAGTCGAAGGTACGGCAGAAGGTGATGGTGTGGGGTCTCTTCTTGCTGCTGGAGCCGAAGAGGATGAGCGAGGTGTCGTTCTTCTCGGAGAAGAAGGTCAAGGAGCTGGCATCCTCGAAGGGGTGGACGGGGTTCTTCTTGTGGAAGCGCTTGGCGTGGGTTTGGCGCAGCGAGTAGAGATCTTGCATGGCATCTTGGGTCTGCGGACTGTATTAGATTTTGATGATACCATCAAAATAGGAGGAGAGGATATGGAGGAGGCGACATACGACTTGGCTGCAGGTCGTGCCGCGAAGGAAGAGGGCGGTCTTGGGATTCTCGTTGAGCTTGGGGGCACGCTTCTCGAGCGCCCTCTTGGAACGGGCTGTCCGCGGCTTGCTGTGAGGGGGGAAAAGGACGGTCAGCTATCGTTCGGTATGTACCATTGTCATGATCGATTGACCTACACTTGGCGGAGCATTTTGGCGGTCTGGTTATGCGATAACGGTAGTGGGTGGATTGGGTAGCTATCGCAAGGTGGTGATGTGGACTGGGGACTGTCTCCTTCACCTGCAAATCGTCGTCGTGATGATCGAGCAAAGAAATTCCAGAACGGCGCTTATCGATAAGAGGAGACCTTGAACTCAAAATTTTGTGGGGCGGGTGGGGTCAATGTTGTCCGCTCGTCCACTGGGCGCTGGCTTTCCCCTGCCTGTCGTTCAGGGGTTCACGGGCTGTTAGGTTCCATTTCACGCCTCAACGTCACTGCAACGGCAACCAGAAACATTTCCATTTCTGCCGTCTCATCGGCACAATTAGGTTGGTGATAAGAGTCAACCTTGACCTACCTAGTTATTCTGATCACTCGATAATCACTTGCTCTTTGGAAACAAGCATTGAGCAGATCAATTGAGTCAGCAACATCACAAAACTCTGGCATCACATTCACAAAATTGGCACAGTTGAGGAGACTCCGAATATACAAAAGCTGTCATATTGGGAGAGTGTTTTCTTACACTCCGGGTGCACAATACGAATTTCTTGAAACTTGTCTACTCTGATTCAGAACCAAATTTCTCCAGTTATTGCTCCCGGCGAGTATCAAGAATGCTCTTATCCACCTACTACGTACGTACATGCATGGCCTGTCTTGCTCTAACACCATGAAGCAGTATAGTAAAGCTACTCTCACAATGACCCAACATCATCTATTTCGCCATGTCCTCTCTCTCTCGTGATCGTCTTGACCGGACCATACATGTAGGATATCCATCCAACCTGATGAGACTCCCCGGTCTCTTTCCCAATCACGTCCAAACAGCCCGTACCCATCCATGCTTGCATTGTACAACCTCCGGAACGCACATTTTTTGTGATGCCTTCTTTTACCCTTGTTCCATAGATCCTCGGCACTTCTTTCACCGCCTCCGCCTCCGTCTTCACTACTATCATATGTATGCCACCGGGAAGTTACTTTCCAACGGTTTTGAAAAGGGCGATTGCATTCTCGTCAAGCCCAGCCCGTGCCGCTGAAACTGAAACTGAAACTGCCCGCAGCTGTATGTATGTACATGTGGAGTGTTCGGAAACTCGGGTATATGAAGGAATGCATTTTCGAAAAGTTCTATGCAGTCTCCCGCGACCGAGAATGGAGGTAAAGACAAAGGCACTGACTGGGATGCAAGTAAACTGTTGTGACTCGCGAACTCGTTGTAAGCATGTTCCCGTGAGGTGTGGTGCGGTGGGAGAAGAGAGGTTTGGTTTGGATGCGGGTTGTTCCGTGCAGGCGCTCGGGGAGGGACTCGGACTGGACAGGTAAACTGATAACGTGAGTTGATGGAAAGGAAGGAGTCTTCAGGATAGGAGGTATTGATAATAGTACGTCATTAGAGTACCATCATTTCAGAAAAAGTTTTGGTCGTTCACGGTTTTGGTTTTCCAAATGGTGTCAAGAAAAGTTGGTGATGACAAAAGCATTCGTTGTTACTTGGCGATGGGGTGTTCCATGGTCAAAACATCAACGTCTCGGAATTGTCTGTTTGACCAGTAACACCGCACATCAAGGACCAGTCCCTTCACCTTACACCATGACATTCATCATTAGAATGTACCTGACCTTCAAAAAGAAAAAGGTTCATCAATCCTAAGACAATAGACAAACACATTGTGTAATAATGATGCAAAAATTCAAAAAGAGAATGTTGATCTCCCTCGGTAAGGATCGAACTTACAGCCTCCAGATTAACAGTCTGACGCGCTAGCCAATTGCGCCACGAGGGATATCCAGATGTTATTGTAAGGCCATTCAAAACGTTAGCTTATGTAGGTGAAACTCATAACACTTCGGCTTTTTCAAGAAGTTGCACTCCCCTCTGCCTATTTGGAGAACCATCATGTCTTGCTTCATAATGTCTCTCCTCGGAACTATCGGGCCTAGGGTCCCTCTTTTTCTTCCTTTTCCTTGTGCATCTGTGGTGCTAGAACCAGTGTACGAAATCCTGAATCTGAATGCTGTGGCATACAACTTTATAAAAGTTGTCTCACCCCACGTTCCAACTTCCTCGGAAGAATGTTCCTTGTCTTTGTGTGTTCATGTTCCGTGCTCTGACGCACTTACACTTGAATTGGGGCTCAAGTCAGGTTATCTTGTTCTTCTTCTTTTTCTCTAGCTGGGCGCCAACCGAAAACGAGTTGATGACATTGACTGGTCTCGCCACCTTTGCTTCTAGCCCGTCTTGCTGAAAGTTCTGTGCCGCGAGCGGCGGCCGCCGCGTTTTCTGACCAAGCAAATGGGAGCCCAGCTGAAAAGACATGTTACATACATGTTCAGCTCCCTTCGAAAGAAGCACTCACTGCATAGCCGTATCGGTACATGTATGACATGTGCTGAGAAGCAACTCGATGCTGCCATCACCGAACTACTCATGTCTGTCCCGTTCACTATCCCGGGACGGGACGTATTGGATTCCAAGGGCGGGTATGTAAATCCGGCAAGGGCTACAATGTTGGCCATTGGCACACACCGGAAAGGCATCTATCTTTACGTAGGTAACCACGCACGCCATAGCTCTCGATGATAGACGTGGGGGTTACATCCCAACCTCTTTCACAACGGCCTTCTCACTGGTTCACGGTCTTAGTGAACCCGATACCGAGTGAAGATCTTTTAGTTCTCAGTAATTCCATATCGTACGTTTTCTTTCCACGTTTTTAGAGTTTCTTGTTATCTGGCACTAGTGAAGCAATAATGGATTTTCCGGCATGTCTCGGGTTCCGAACTGCATCGTCCTGTCCGTGTCGTTAGTCGTCGCATAGATAGTCACATGTGTGTGTGTGTGTGTCTTTCGTGGGCCATTGGCCCTACGTATCCTGGCTTTGGCTTTAGTGTATGTAGAGGTCTGGAGAAAGAAGACGTAGATCTATGGACGCAATCGCGCGGCTCGTTGAGGAAAGCTGTGGGTAGGATTGGATTAGCCCGCGCGGCTCGTTGCCGATCTCTACTGAACTCCAGGTCAAGAACCAACGGAAACAAACTGAAGACGGCACTGGACCAACCGACTAACCGACCGATAATCCGAACGAGTGAGGCCATCATGCCGTATTTCCTGGCTGCACGCTTTTTGTATTTTCTGTTGTGCTCTCAGAACTTCAGCTAAGAGTTCCGGTTGTACGACAGCTGAGGCTGCGGGCTCGCTGAGACCGAGTAGTAGCAGCTACTTGGGCCAGACTGCGCCGCCTGAGGATGGAGGGCTTGGTGAATATTGACAGTAGATATCCCCAAGTAAATATGAGGCGGCATTGCCATCGGGTGAAGAGTATGTGTGGCGTTGTGATTGTGCAGTTTGTAGCTCCATGGCTCAATCTCTGCCGCAGAAAGCGGCTTGCATGCAAATTGGACGGACGCCTTCGAGGAGGCGACCCGGCACTTTTTGTGATGGAAGCCTACAGCGAACAATAAAGTGGTATGGATGGAAGGCGTATCGCGGTGCCCGACATGAGGCGCTTCCCAAGACCCAAGTGCCGGCCGACTCTTTAAGGAGGACTTCTTGTTTCCAAGCGCATAGCCTGACCGCTTTTCCACCACTTCCTTTTGTGCTTGTAGTGGATATGTTTCAAACCAGTCAAGACAACCCAGCAATGGACGAGCGGCGGCTGGTTCGGCGAGCGAAGGGGGTAAATAGTTTGTGAATGGAGTGTTCTTGGCTTTCTTTTCGATATCGGGATTTTGTGGTCCTCCTGGATTCCTGGTAGAAAATGAGAAGTTCGAGTACACGTGGTTTACCGTCGCACCCGGACTCGCTCGACTAGGGCCGGATCACCATTCCCCGGGCTTTAGGAGGTATCCGGTCGGTCAAGCTCTAGTGTACCTATACTGCTTCCATGTCCCTGCTGTGTATTGTGATACGAATTCCTCTCTCGTGTTCGGTTGTGCACCACACAGCGAGGGAACCCCGAACATGAAGCTAGAGAAGCCAAGATTGCTGGAAGCATGCCCTGTCTGGCTATGTTGGTCTGCAGATTTGTATAGTGTAGTAATAAACCCGCGCTGAACGGGCGAATAACCGATGAAGCTAACCGTTGTGTGTTTCTGGCAAAGTTTCTTTTTCGATAGCGCCGTCCCGTGAAATCGTAAGCGAACAGATCATTGCAGCGTTAGTGAGGATATAAAAGGGGAGTCTTGGAAGCTAGCTAGGGAGGGATCAGGAAAAGGGCCCGTTCTATCGGGAATCGGAAGTCGTTCAATTTCCATGAGGTAGCAACGGGCATGAAGCGGGAGCGGGTCTCTTTTTCATTCCTCCCTGTCTGTGTCCGATGGATGGAATGAACATGGAGGAGGTGTGACTTTGGTGGGGATTTTGTTGATTTCCAGTTCCTGTTGCCTGCTCCCCTGACCAGTGTCGATGACGTAGTGGTTAATCTTAGCGGTTGCTTAGCGGGCGCATCCTATCATCTTGTAGCGTCCGGGATCCTTCCCCTAGGTTCCTTCTGCCAAACGTTGTCCCGATCCAAGACAGCGTTGTTTCGAGAATCAACAAGCAAAGAGACGGTTTTTGTCGTTGGCAGATAGATATGGTGTAGTATGGGGAAGAGTCAAAGTTGGATATGTTCCCCAGATCAGCATGTGCATTTTCCATTGTGTCAATTCAGTTCCTGTTTTTCCAGCGCATGTCCCAGTACATTTCCAGGGACAACCTCGGTTGTCTTGGGTATTTATGGGCGGATATCCGTGGTGGATGTGGGTCATTTTTTTTGTTCAGATCGATGATCGAGAGGCCGGGAGTGGTTGTCAACTTCCCTTCCATTCAAAGCTCGCTGTTTCGAGGAACCCGATTTTGAAGCCGACAAATGCAACCCCAGACCGGACTGTTTGTTACGTTGCATACCTCACCCATTTCGGATGAACACGCGGATATCGGATGGCTCTTTTTTCATGATTTCATTTTGGAACCCTTTCTCTTTTCTTTTTTCTTTTTCATTTTTGTTTTCTTGGGAAATCCACTTCAGAGAACCCCAATAAGAATTGGAAGTGAAGCAGAATCTGTTCGTCGACACACTGACAGCGCCCGGTGTTCTTGATCC